TAAAGAAAAAGGACTTGATGCGCTTTAGGTATGAGTAGGAAACAGGACTTGATGTTTGGACATTTGACAGACTTCACGTGAAAAAACATCAAAATTATTAAACAAAGATGGAAATAGTTTCTAAAGGTAAGAAAAACTAGGGTGGCTGAGCCTTGGTGAAGAAGAGTGATTCGTTGGTGACGATTTAAGATAGTAGATCCATGAACTAGAAAGCTTATGGCAGATTCAAATGGAAGGAAGTAGTATAATCCAGAAGTCCTCTTAGCACGACCAATCATCTTCCCCAGTACCTGATCTTGAAAAATACACATGTGTTTTGAAAAATTAGCCAAACAATTGGAATTGGAGGTAATACGACTAATAGAGATAAAATTGTACGACAGTTTGGGCACAAATAGAACATGGCGAATAATCAAGTAGGGTGAAAGTGCAACTGTGCCAATTTCCTCAACCGGAGCTACAGAGCCATCCGCTAAGGTGATTGTCTTGTTATTCAAACAAGGGTTTAAGGATTGAAAGACAGATTTGTTACCAGACATGTGTTCTGATGCCCAGAATCAACAATCGATGACTCGCCTGGAATGTCTTCAGTTTGATGACCATAAGCCATAAGTGAGTTTGAAGAAGTTAAGGGTTGCCCAATTTGCTTAAGTTGTGCCTTGGAAAAATTCAACATCCATAGGTTTGGAGGAAGAAGATGGTCCTGATCTTTGGGTCATTGGGTTTCCTTTGCTTTCAGGCATTCGTTGGCTTTGAGGTACCCAATCGGTTTTCTGTGAATCTCCCAGCAAGTATTCTTTGTCTGATGGGGACGTTGACAGTCGTCACACCATAGAGCGGGTTTGCGAGGTCCTCGGTTATGTGCAATCACGGCAGAAGTTTTAGACTAGATCTGTGTTTCATTAAGAACTGGACTTGTCATCATGGTCTTTTTCCGATGCTCTTCTTGGCACACTTCAGCAAAGATGGCGTCGATTACTGGTAGGGGTTTAAGGCTGAGAATACGTCCTCGAACACCATCAAGTGAGGAATCAAGTCCGGCCAGGAAATCATAGGTTCTTTCTTTGGTAAGTATCTTCTTGTATAACTCGACATTTAGTGAATCTTTCCACTCAGGTTGAGAAAAAAGATCCAATTCTTGCTAAAGTTTGGTTAAGGTATTAAAGTAGGTAGTAACATTGCCTGTATCTTGTCGCAGGTTTCGAGCCTTAGTTCGAAGCTCAAACATCTGTGAAATTCTTCGAGATCTGAGTAGGAGCGGGTGACGACATCCTAGAGAGATTTTGTCGTGGGGTAAAGGAGGTAGATTTCTACAATGCTATCTTGCCGAATTGACGAGCCATGCCATAACCATGGAAGTTTTTATATCCCATTTGGCATAGGAGGAATTGGTGGGTAAGGATTTTTTAATGGAGCCATCGATGTAGCCGTACTTGCCCTTCTCATGAATAACTAGTTGGACAGATCGAGACCATTGAAGGTAGTTCGATCCAGACAATTTAAAAGTTGTAATTTGGAGAGAGAGATTATTGTCGGAGTTGGCAACAACAGTAGAGATGGTTTTTGATAGGGTTCGGTTGGTTTCTCGGAATCTGATCCCATGGTGGTCATCGACTAAAGCTTTCAAAGCTTTGATGCTGATAAGAACCTACAGGTGTATACAAGAAAGAAAACACGGGTCAAGAGACATGAGCAGGAGCAATTTAATGCCCTTTTCGGAAGTTGGATGGACCCACTGGGTCAACCATGCAATGGTTAAAATTGAATGGGAGGGAGCAGTTATGATCCTGTATTCTAGGAGCAGTTATCGTTAGTTTGTAATAAATCTGTACTCTTTGTTTTTAGGTGGCAGTCAGGAATAAACTTGTATTCATGTTAGCAAAGGAGACTGGCCATTTCGAATTTGGTTTTATCAATCTAAATCGTAATCGTTTGACTGCTTAATTTTTCCGGTTACTATCATTGGTTCCATTGCCGGGAAATCGAAGACATGGTGCAAACCCGGAGCAATTCAGAGGAGGGAAATCACCCACTTGATCCGGTGGCAATGCAGTTAGCTGCGATTGCCAAGAAATTGGAATCCATAGACGCGTTGCAGAAGGAGGTAGCAACCCTCAAATCTCAATTGCATAATAAGGATAGATGGGTAATGGAAAGCAAGATGAAGGGGAATGGTCCTGGCATAATCAAAGGTACCGACCACACAACAAAATTGCTTTTCCTACCTTTAGCAATGGAGACCCACGGGGTTGGATTCTTAAGGCAGAGAAATATTTCCGCTACTATGACATTCCAGAGGTGGAAAAGGTAGATGTTGCATCGATGCACTTGGAGGGAGATGCACTAGACTTTTATTCATGGATATCGACCGATCAAACAATAGAATATTAGGAGGATTTTGTTCGAGCCTTGCAGAGAAATTTTGGACCTACTGAATTCCAGAATCCGGACGAATACTTGTGTAGTGTTAACCAAACAGGAACTATGCAAGAGTATCGACAAGAATTTGCCAAACGTTCCTCACGAGTGTCCAATTGGCCAGAACATTGTCTCCTGGGAGTGTTCCTTAATGGCCTCAAAGAAGAATTGAAGGCCGATGTACGAATACAAAAACCACGAATAGTGTATAAAGCGGTAAGCGTTGCTTTGGAATTTGAGTCTAAAATCAGCCACACCCGTTATGGGAGAGGATCAACTTGGACAGCACCACCAAAGTCATCCCAACCCGAGTCCAAGGCTACGACTCCTACATCGAATTCTACCAAAAGTAATCCCAAACCACCCTTACGAATTTCTGATGCGGACAGACAGTCTCGTTACCTTAAGGGTGAATGTTACCGATGCGGGGAAAAGTACGGGACTGGCCGGTGTAAAACAGGAACTCTCAAGGTGTTGGAAGTGGAAGAAGAGCCTGAAGAGCAGTCCCCTGATGGAGTCGAATATATGGCAGGAGATACTAACGACGTTGCGGAGATCAGTTTACATGCCATCCTTGGAAAACCCCACCCCAAAACCATGATACGGAAGTAATTATTTTGATTGATGGGGGATTTACACATAATTTTATCTTAGATGTATTGGTTAAGGATTTGCAACTTAATACTCAAGCAGTGGCACCTTTTGGTGTTCAGATTGGGAATGGAGATTTTATTAGGTGTGGCCACATATGCAAAAACCTTGCAATACAAGTCAATGAACTTAAAAGCTTTAGAGTTGCAGAAAGAATTATCATTCACTGCTGTATTTAAAGGGAATATTTATACAAGAGAGATTAGGAGATAAACTACAACTCTTAATATAAAGGGATAAAACTTGTCTATAGATGATTCCTTATCAGAGCCTATCTACAGCTCTATTAACCCATATCCATATACTATTCTACAATATATATTCTTCAGATCACGAATTATGTATTTATAAGAGAGATCGACAGATATGGCGGTTAAACGGTAATAACCGTTAATGGATAAGATCAAAGAACGGTTGTAACCGTATCAGAGTTCGAGTTTGAATCTGACTTCATTAGCCAGACTTAGGTCCAAGTCTAGAACAAGTCCAATGAACATGTCCAGGTTTCTGAACCCATTTTTCTCGATTTAGGACTTGGTCTAGATTCAAGTCTGATTTCACTGCGACTTTGTCCTTTGATCTGAATGATAAGACTTGTACTTAGCAAGATTTTCGCTAAGTTCAACTCTTCATAAATTCCAAAAACCTCGGACTTCCTTACTCACTTATGGCGATCTAAGGTGATCGGGGAAACATTTGTGAGTGTGCACTCCGCACTTCCTTACTCACTTATGTTTGCCTCATCATCTCAATTTTGATCTCTAGTAAATCACAACTACACCAAAATGGTTAATGATACTAAAGTCACCAACACCAAACGCCTCTAGTTTAACAATTTTTTAATGGATATTATCTCGGTAGGACTTGAGGAGTGAAAAAAATGCAAACTAGAGGTCCCAAATCAATATTTATTTGGGTTTTAGGACCAAAGGAGTTAAAAAGTATGAACCACATGGACGGAATTTATAATTTACTCTTTAAAAAATATAAATTGTCTTATATGCAATTAATTTTTAATTAAATAAATTATATAAAAAAACGAGTACCTTATTCCCTTTAATTTGATACCCACATCAATATATATTTTTTCCGTTTTTTACTTGGGTTCTTTAAAATTTCGATCACAGGTGTATAAATACTAATACTTTTACTATATTATAAAACATTTAACTCATGTTCTTAAAAGCTCTTAAAATTCAAGTTTACAACTTACTACTGCATACACACAACTTTTTAAGTTCCACGCTTGAACTCCATAAAGCTAACCGATAACCAACTCATAGACATGTTCACATACAAGATAAACACTGAGCCCTACTAATATAACAAAATACTCCATAACACGGATAACCAACCTAAGGTCCTCTCGCTCTCTCAACAAAATCGAGTGAGACAGAATAGAAAGGAGCATGAAATAAGATTGAGGGTTCAAGTTCTCAAACTCAATATCAAGATGTATTGTGGTGCATCGTGCAGGTACACTTCTAGTTATACGTTACACATTTAGGGTTGGGTTCCAGTGAAAACGGAAGTTATGGTGAGAAGCGTAAGAAGATATCTCCACCCTTGAATAAATCCTAATTGAATGTCTAACACTAATGAGATGCATAAAGATGCACCAGATCAATTCCCTTCTAAAGCGCAATTCATGGGTGGGCATGGGATTAAAAGTGATCAAGGGTTCAGATTTCTTCTTACGCTTCTCACTTTAACTCTTTTTCTCACACGATCCTTCGCTGTACATTTATAACCGTATTGAATACCAAACACTTAACTTTTCCTAATTGAAGTTCTGTAATCAATAATGTTGTTGACCCTCAATTGTCAGGAATCAGGCTTTTACTTGCACGCTATTTCTTATTACTTCTGGGCTTAGCATTTCACATGGCGTTTTTTCGGTTCAGATATTGATGCCGTTTATTTCCTTTCAGTGTAATCAACAACGAAATATCGAAGCCGAGTTGACTTTATGTGATAAAAAGATTCAGGCAATCATGCATGGTGGTATGTCTTTTTCTTTGTGCTTATGCTACTTCCTTTTAATATGATAAAAGTATTTTCCAAATACTAACGCCCGCAGATACTAATGCTAGGGGTGTTGACAATGGATAAACAGTAGCTTCCATTCACCTTTTAAACTGCATATAACAGATTTATACCCACTGCCCCGTTCCAGCTAAACCCAGAAGCCAACCAACCACAGACTTTGACCACTTTGAACAGGGGTACTCCTGATTGCTAGAAACTGTTTTAACACTTGCTAAATATCAGTAATATGCCTAAAACAAAGGGATTTTTGCATATGTTAAAAAAGACCCATAAATTTGGTTTGCGTCTTGCTTCAGTGAATCCTATGCATTGTGTGCTTCATGAAACTCATGCTCATCAAAGGCAAGTTGCAAAAGTTGTGCGACTTTCACATTGATGGTGACCATTTAATTTTGTGATAGGCATTGGAGATTGCTTGGGTTTAAAGCTAGAGGCCGTTATTGATTGTTGCAATGAAATTTGCCAGAAAGATGAGAATAGAGACCTGCATGTTGGTAAAAGCTTGCCATTTTCAGGAAAGAGTTTGTCTGAAGCCCAGATCATATTACGAAATGCATGCCAGGCAAGTCTTAACTTATAAACATATATTTCAGAGTGTTTAATATTTTTCTGTTTTCTACTTTTGCTTTTGTGCAAATATTCGCATATGGGCATCCATTCAGTTGTTAGGTGGCATTGGTTTGGTAAATTTACCTACAACATTGGAGGCAACCACATCAAGGGAGCTTTGGTTGAACGACCTTCCCATAGTTTTTTCTTGAATCCATGACCTTTTAACAGGTTTGAGAATGTCACTGCTTAACAGAAGAATGTCACTTCCATATACAAGAATGCCTAGAAACCTATTAGGTCATGGATTTTAAAAACACTTGTCAAGAGGTCATTTAGAAACATAACCCGAATCCAAACGGGGTTGTTTGGTGCATATATGACCTGCTAGGAGACTCATGCTTATTAATTTACGAACTTGGCCACTCCAATTCATTACAAGCTCTTGTGGTCGCTCGCCTAAACTTTGTATTTCTTTTATTGGTTTTATAAATTTGCCTGGTTTCCTTTCAAAAAAAAAAAAAAAATTCATTACAAGCTCTAGCTACTTTAAAAGCTTAATAAGGCAGAGAGTTTGGCAATGAATATGGGTTTAGATTAACTTGTAGTTGCTGCACTCTTTAAAATGAGAGTTTGGGTTTGAGTTTCAAAGGTTGTTTAAATATGAAAAGTAAAATGCCAAATAGCTTGAATGGGGCCTAACCATTTCGATGTTATACGAAATGTAATGCAATTCAATTAATAAAATAAAGAGTTACGATTATGAGGCTGATACGTAAATAATGTATTTATTAGATTAAAATAATTACGTTGCTATAACTATAAATATATACTTAATTATAGAAAATAATGAACGGTATTGTAAACTACTGTTTAAAAGGATATTGAATGGCTATCATATTTTAGGATGGGTGATGTGTGAGAAAGGTACTTTATAATGATATAAAGAAATTTCAGTTTCAAGAATCAGAAAATACATCATATTGAGTACAAATGCATTATGACATTTTTCATGTCTTAATGTAAAATTAAAAATATTGAGGATCACAACGATGTATTCCAAATTGTTCCCAAGATTATGTACTAAGAGATGCATTAGTAAAAAGATAGACATTATTACATGTAAATTACGATTAGGTCGCTATATATATTACTTCCTAAACTTGAAGTCAATTCATGGATTGGTAATTAATTCCACCATCACCTTTGTCTCTACCCCTAGGGGTAGAAGTATGGTCTGCATACATCTTACCCTTCCCCGACCTTATCTCCTAGTGGGATATATTGGGTATGTCTCATTTGTTTTGGCTTATTGGAATGCCACCCCATGAAACCACTTTCCAAGATAAATGCAAATATTGTTGCTGGGTGAAGCTTGACTGTCCAAGATAAGTGCCTACTTTCCAGCTCTACCATCAATTATAAAATGGATAAATTCATTACTCCCTCTACTAAGGTTAAAATTGTCATTTAGCTAATTAAAAGGTGTAATAATTACATATTTTTGAAACTGTGTGCCTGTTTCATTGTGGACATATATATTGGAATGGAGGGAGTAGGACATTCCTGCATTGGAAGATGCAATCGTCATCTTTCACTTTATGCTGCTTGTGGTAGTCTTGAAGTTCACAAAGACGATCCAAGCCAACGTGTATATTTTTGTTATATCGCTCTTAGAGAATGTCAGAGCTGTTTGCAATATTTGGTGCATGCATTCTATTATATGTTCCATAAGCATCATAACAAATTAGTCTTTTTTGGCCAGGAACTGGATGATATTTGTCTATCAAACAATTGGATGTTGCCGACATATCATACGTCATGTTCGGATGGTAAGACTTTATGATTTGCCAAGGTTATCAACACACACCTTTCTGATAAAAGTCCATGACCCTTTTCCAACTTTGATCAACTAAATCCATGTCAAGTTTAGTAGTGATGGGCTTTAATTATCTAGTAGTTACAAGTGGGTTTCAGTTTTCTGATTGGACATTTAAACACATGAAGCCTAAACCCTAAAACCCAAACCCTAAATCCTAAAACATAAACCCTAGACACTTTCTCCTTGTCACTAAGGGGGCGCTTACCAACACAAACCGGACACTGGGAGTCACAACCGTCACTTACCTTACCAGGTAAGCTATTCGTTCATCATAATAGCTTAGTATAAGCATCTCTTACCCGATCAGCGATAACCGGGTAAGATTCTTGGTCAGCAAAGTGGCAGAATAAGGTTGTTGGTAAAGAGCATATCTGACCATGTAAGCGTGTCTTACCCAGTAAGAAGCAATAAGTTTTTAGTTACCTTATACGAGACAGTAAATGTTTTGATTAGTAAATGACCCGTAATTATATATCATGTTCCTACAAATTCTGAATTCAAGAATTGTTGTGTGTAGGTGGGTTTGTGGCAAATGTAACTGTGAAAGGAACTGATTTTGAGTGCTCGGATGTGAGCGGCATACAAGCAAGTATTCGTGAAGCTAGAAACTCAGCTGCAACACTTGTGATTATGAAATTGCAGCAAATGGCCATTCAGCATACTACTGCTCTACATTAGTTTAAAATTCAAGTAGTTGTACTTGTGACTGTCAGATCCAAACACTTGTATTTCTAAGTACCCCTTCAAAGATGCAGAAACCGCATATGTTATATGCGTCGCGTAGAATAGTCATCTCTATGCCAAATGTTTGTCGAGTTTCAGATTTGCTCATTAATGATCAACGATTCTGATCTTCCATAAGTTGTGTTATTGTATCATCACTGTAACAAAATTGGGTTTATAGGATGTCAACAACGTCTAGGGGCTTGTTTATTAATTAGCAGATTAATAAGATTCACGGCTTATTCGATCAGCTATACATGACAGTTTGGTAATGGCTTAATAATATATAAAGTGGCTTATTCAGTAAGCTTCTATAGGAGAAACATTATGTAGACAAGTATCTTAAATTTTTTGTTAAGACTGTTAATTTGTCCAATAAATTTATCACAAAATTAAACATATAGTTGTATAGTCTTATGAATTGAAGTCTTATAAAGCAATTTAGTAAGATACTTATATGTTTTTGGCATCCTATAATCCTGATAATCTTGTGTATATGTGCTTTGGGTTTGGGTGCTGGATCCTAGCCACAAATAAGAAATCATTAAATAGCAGCAACGATTTTGTCGGTGCAAGGGCAATGTGCTGTGGTGGCTATGGTTCATATTCTTCGATATCCTAGTAAATCTCTAGGATTCTTGGTTCGAATGCAATGTCTTTGAGTTGGTGAGGTAGATTGATTAAACGAGTTTATGGGCCATGAGCCAGAATAATCGACTCCTTATGTGGCCATGATGGAAGGTACCATGAGGAGATCGGCTGTAGGAGATGGCCGATCATCACGATGCATGTTATGCGAAGATTATGAGCGAGACAAAACATACCAACATGGTTGCTTTGGATCCGATCTAGAGATAGATAACTATATTGGGGTATAGAGTTGTGTTCCAGTGAGAATGAAAGTTATGGTGATAAGGGTATGAAACGATCTTCAGTCTTGGATCAATTCTAATTAAAGATCAACAATAATGAGATGCACTAGATCAATTCCCATGAAAAACGAGACTTCATGGATGGAGGTGAGATTAAAAGTGATCAATGGTTTAGATCCTTTTTTACGCTTCTCATCTTAATTCATATTTTGAGACGATCCTTCTTGGGGTACAATCATTGTAGATATCTATCATGTACTTGGAATTAAATAGTACTTAAAAGTATAGACAATCATACGTGATTAGTTAGTTTAGTTGGTTCAGGTTCAAACGAGAATGGTGACCAAATAAAAAAACAAGAGAATGACCAAATCACATGTGGTTTTCATAACCTTTGCATTGATCGTGTTCTGTAATGACATGTGATTTCAATGGAAAATCATATGTGATTTGGCTTTCTCATATTCTTTTATTCTGACTATGAACTCGTTTGAACTTGCCTCTAATTTAGTTATTGTTGAAGTATATTTAGCACTTTGCTTTAGAGCTACTTGACCTTGAGATTAGTAAATAAAATATATATTTAAATTAAATATTTATTTATCAATATATACGGGTACGGGGTGGGTTAGAGGATACAACACCCGGCTTCGGCCCCATCCCCGTTTTCAGCCAAACGGGGATCCCCATCCTCGGACCCGGGACCTATTTTAACGGGGATTTCCCATCCCTGATCGGGCGGGTGAACCGAGTTTCCCGACAGGTTAGGGAAAATTCCAATGCCTAAAGACTACATATTAAAAGACGAGGTACACTCCAGTACGCAAACTACGATAAGGAGTTGAGTTGAACAATGTAATCAAGGCAAAAAATGCAATCATCAATCTGATAAAAGAAACCTAGCAAACCAGAAGATGATTAATTGGCTAGCCTGATAGTCAAGGTTAAGGAATAAGTGACATTGAAAAATATAAAAAAATCCAACAGACTTTCTGAATTTGAGTGATCAAGTTATTGGACAGTTTTTTTTGAACACATAAATCATTGGAATTATAAATCGACTAAATAGACCATTTTGATCTTAAAAATGACTTCCGACATGTTTGAATGGTAAAAATGCTTTTAATGTATAGGTCTTCAGCTTATGGTACACATTGTTAATGCTTGCCTAAAAACGTTAAACTCTCCCCAACACGAGTCCCCACCCATCTTCATCCTTCTCTCCAAACCCGATGCCGACAAACCTTCCCCTTCCAATGATCCTAATAGTGGAAAATCATATAGGTTCACAGAGAAGCCATAGTGGCGGCGTCAGTGCATGCCAGACACTATGAACTCTAATAAACTGAGATTGTTTCTATAGGGAACTGAACAACTTAAAATTAGAGATCTTCATAAACTTCTTCACTACAAGAAAAAATGACCTTCAGAAAAGTTTTTTTTTTTTTTTTGGTATTTAAAAGTCTGAAAAACTTCTCTAAAGGTTTTAGAGAAGCTTTTCACTTCCATAAAAAACATTACATATATAACGGTAGTTAAAGGTTTTAGGGAGGGTTTTTAGATGGTACATTTATATTAATCTTTAGAGAAGCTTTCAAACCTTCTCTAAAGGTTGGCCCATTTTTTTAAAGATTCTATAGAAGTATGTATTAGTGACCTTTTTTGAGCATCAATGACAGTTTTTAAACATCATTTTAAGGTACTTTCGGAGAAGGTTTTTAGGAAAGTTTCTCTAAAGGTATAAGCTTTAGTGACACTTCCTATAAACCTTTTTCTAAAGATATATTTTTATATTATAATAAAATAAATAACAATATTAATAAGGAATAACATCAAAACCCTAAAATAATATAATTTTATTCCCTCCATCCCAAATTAAGTGTCCACATTACTATTTTTATTTATCCCAAATTAAGTGTCCAATTTCAAAAGTAAATTTCTAATTTCCCATTCTACCCTTAAAATATGAGATGGAAAAGTTTCTTTCTCTATTCTCAAGGGTAAAAATGTCATTTGATTATTTAAAAAGTGTATTAATTGTACATTCCTAAAACTGTGTCATTTTCATTTTAGACATTTATTTTTGGACGAAGTGAGTACATATTGTCATAAAAGATAAGAATTTTTCAAAACAAAAATCCACACATTTATTTAAATTTATAAGAACTATAACAAATCATATTACACCAACCCAAGATTTTCATTGTGCCAATTCCCCTCTTTTATCCGCCATAAGTAAGCATTTCATTTCTTTAACCAATTATCAAACACATCATAGGCATTACGCAGTATGTAATGCCTACTTAGGGGCTGATAAACGAAAATAAAAGTTTTAAGCTTTATGGACCCAAAATTTGCATTAAAGTTGAGAAAAATAATTTATTTGAACAACAAACTTGAGAATCCACATGCTACAATATCAATAACACAAGTTTTGAATTATGAGCTTCTCTATAACTAGGTAACAATATTACTTTATTTTGGTTTGGCTGAAATGCTAAAGATTAGATCATGCCATGAGATTGTAATTTAAATAAGAGACTAGTGTATCTAATAAGTGTTGATCCTAATTGCTTCGTGTGGTTTGATGATGACTTCTATACTTGGTGTTAATCTACTTTGTAAAGTTCTAGGTGAATGCACAACCAACAACTAAGTCTATTCACTCTGTTCAGTATTTCCAATATGATTAGAACTTAAGTTTTCTCAAAACAAGACTCACATCATTGAAAATTTAGCGATGTCAAAGAAGTAGCTGAAGATAAAGATAGAAAGATCTAAAGCGGTATTCAGTGATACAACATGTCTAAAGAAATGTGAAACTATACTCAAGAGCTCAGTTACAACTAAAGAAGTCTACAATGCTCCCTCCTTTGCTGAAAAAGAATCTTGCATATCAAGTTTTTGTGTTATTCTCTCTTGCACAAGACAAAACCCCATGGTGCTAAGTGACAGAAGGTACAATACGAAATCTACTTATTGTTCCCTTCATGCATACACACTACCCTCTGACACTGTTCGTAAGCGGAAAAAATTTGCTTTGCTTTAGGACAAGAACTATGCGCGAACCACTCTCCTTTGGACACGTGAACTATACCTGTAATGGGCATTAAATGCACATGGTATAAATAGTTGATAAGACTCTCATTCTCACTATTGTTGTAATCTTCATCATCCTTGCTCTCATCCTCTCTCTAAGTGTTTTCTGTACAAGAACCTTCTTGCTTTTCATAATTTATTCTAAAAGATTCTTAGTGGTCTCTAGTTACAAAGTAAGATTGCTTAGAATAGGTACACCTTCTCTTCTTCTGAAAACAATCTGTAAATTCAAGTGTATTGATTCTTCTTCTAAATCAATAAAAGAAATCAAAAAGTGAAATACTCGTGTTTGTATTCAACCTCCCTTATACAAACCTCAACAGCCTTGTTACTACTCTTGGGACAAACAAGTGGTATAAGAGCCTTGGCCGAGCCTATTGTTGCGACATCTTCTTCTTCTTCCTCGGCTTCAGATGGAAATGTTCGCCTCTTCTAGCATTGAAACCTCTTCTAATAAGTGCTCTTCTTATATAGATCCTTGTTAGACCCCATAAGTCTTATGCATGGAAGTAATGAAGACAAACAAGTGATGAAGAACCAGAAGGCCAATGGAAGACTTCAAGGCAAAACAGCTAAGTCTGAAGAACAACCAGAGGGTCGATGAACTGACCAGAGATCCGATGGAAAGTGCATCTTCATGACCCCTCTGGGTACTAACACTTGGAGTTTCCCTCACTAGTTCAACCAGAGGCAAGCGATGAAGATATGAAGATAAGGTTGAACTCATACCCCATGGAAGACAGCTGGAGATGATCAATCAATAGCTGGATTCTACAAAGTTTATCTTGTGTTTTATGTTTATTCATGTTTAGATAAGCTTTATCTGTTCGTAGAAAATTAGCTAAATAGTCTCACTAGATAGTTATCTTCTTAGCTAGATTTCTAGTATAAATAGGTGGTTAGGCCTATTGTAATCTTTGACTCTTTACGTTTTTCACATCATTGGAATAAAGTGAAATATTTGACACTCAAGTATATTCTTAGAACGTTTATTAATTGTTCTTGAGTGTTCATCATTTTATTCATCCAAACACTATAATTTGGTTACTCTTAACTTAATTATTAGTGTTATTGAGAGATCTAGGATCAACAATTGGTATCAGAGCCTATTGATTGTTTTTCCAATCAAACGATCATTAAAAATCTCTCAATTTGCGTTTTTCATAA